TTTATATATTTATATTTAATGTTTATATTAGTAAATATTTTAATAATAAGTAACAAGAATTAAAAAAATAAAATATAATAAATAAAAATTTTATTATTTTTTTTATTTTTATAAAACTTTTAATATATTCAACATATTAACAATAATAACAATTGTAAAAATATTAACAAATCAATTAACTATTATAACAATTATCAAATATGTGATTTATATTCAAATATTTATATTAATAAAATTCTTAATAACAAGTAGTAAGAAATTAAAAAAATAAAATATACTAGATAGAAAAATTATTATTATTATTTTTATAAAACTTCTAGTATAATTATAAATTTTTCTAAATAGAGCTGTATAGCCACTCAGCATTATTTAACTTTACATATATTGTTTTTAAAATCTTTTTCAATATATTGATTAAATAGTGTCATAGCAAGCTAGCATTTAGCTTATTGTATGCTTTGCACCTGAGAAATGTTGTTTCTTTCATAAATGTATACTTTGTTATAAATAAATAAATAAATAAATAATGCTTTCCTACTCTAAAAAAAAGAAATAAATCAATTTAATATTTGATTTATGTTTCTTAAAATATCCTTTGATTGATTCCTTATAATATTTATTGTTTAATTTGTTAATCATTATACTGTATTATAAAACCGTATTACTACGTGTCCTTCTAGTTATTCAGATGTAGCATTTTAAATATTTATAAAAAAATGCCTTGATAAAGGCACCGCAAATAGTAGAAACAATCACTTCTATAATTTAGCAATATTTAAATAAAAGCTTATAATCTTTTGATATTGCAAAGTCACTTGAATGAACCTTTCTTTTAGACTTTATAATTGATCTGGATATTATCGATTGATATTCGTATTTAAGTATTCCACAAATAATTCGGCCACGCGTTCCATACTCAATAATGTATGCATCTTATTAATATTTGTGAATTGTTTTCTTAGACGTCTCAACTCAGAGAGAGTTACTACACGTGATGGAAGATTTACGTGCTGAAAAGAATTTTCCATATACATTAAAGATTAACCTTAAATTAAATGTCGAATTCCAAATTCAATCATATTAAAAGGATATTGGTCGGCTTGTGTTGGATATTATCACAGCACCTGCTCCAAAATTGTGCTTTTGTGCATCTAGCACTGCGTTAATAATCTCTTGTGTAGTTTTCTCGAGTTCATAAAGATAGTTTGTTTCACTAACGGGTTTCTATAGAAAAACACAAGTGAAATTAAGTTTAGATGCAGATATTCGATAATAAAAAATACAAGCGTACCGCAACGGTTGACAAGTTAGGTGGTTTCGCTTTCCTAACAAAGACAGCATCCCATATATTGTCAAGTGGTAACGTTTCATCATCATATAAAACTGTGAAGAGCGGTGAATCCCATCGATTCCGATCGTCTGGTTCTTCGAACCTGCTAACGAGATCGTCGAATCTGTATTGATTAAGTAAAATGTTCAGAATATCTGTGCAATACTTTACTACTGTAAATAATTGCATTCCTAGTTGGATACTAGCAGATTTGATTCATATCCCTCTTCGCCACGAATCGAATTCCATTTTCTTGCAACTTCTACCGGCGTTCCACAGTATATCTGGAATGAATATATATATATATAGGTAACGGTGACTCAAAATAACAGTCAAGTTTGTAAAAAAATTTACCACGCAATGCGGAGTACCAATGGCCCGCGCAATACAATATAGCTGATATCGAAACCCTTTGATGTAGTTCATTCCATCAGCAATTAACAGATCATCCTTTGAAGTTGAACGTTCTACAGCTGATATCAATGATGCTCGGGCCTTTTTTTCTTCAACGCGTGTATCTAAGAGAATTAACGTAATAGTAAATTTTTCGAATGTTGTTTGAATTGAAAGAAAAAATCTACCTTTATAACTATCTTTCGTTATCCCCAGAGACTCGTCGTTAATCAGGTGAACCAAGCCGGTTTTCCCTTGACTTGTAAGCCTATCAAGAAAGTATCGCTCAATCTTTTTCGCGCGGGTAGTCTTTCCGCTAGAAGGGATACCGCACATGATTATTAAAGGCATGATTTATCAAGATATTTGGTAGAAGAAGTATACGGAAAAATTATCAATTGGATATGTGTTATATATATTAGTCTATAATCTATTTGGTGTGACCTGACACACATATAGTTAGAATTTGAAGTCATCATCTACATTATTATAATGCAACAGCAAGTGACAAACCTGCTTTATGAAAGTTCAGATACTTCCATACTTTGTGTATGCACGAGTAAAATCAAGAAAGAAGACTGGAAGGTGAATTATTCAATATTTATAATTTGCATTAAAAGAATCGAGTCTATTTTCTTTCTAAACTATCACCGTGAATCTCATAGGACCACCAGATAGTGTGCCCTAAACGAAGATTATCATGTCCTGCTTTCATTGCTTTTATAAGCGCCCATGTTAAGTTTGAAAAACCATATTGGAAAATTTTTGGGGATCGTTATGCTGAGTTTTCTTCGTCACTAGTTGATTCTAATTGTGCACCATCTTTGAAAGAGATTGCAAAGTTGCAGGTTTTGAAAAAGTAAGTGTTCGAGTGTTGTATCCAATCATGAATTTAATGAATCGGACAGTTTTCTTTAATATTATATATTAACTGTTTTGATTGTCTTTCGACTATCAAAGCGAATCTAATTTAACTAAACTGAAATCGAATAAATTACCTTCGGCAATAATTCACACTCTTCGTTGGGAGTGTCCAACCTTTGCCACGAAAAATGAATTGAACAAACATATGGCCGGATCCTGTCCCTATTACAAGGTTCATTGCTTGCTTATACCAGTTTTTCGACCTATGTATCACGGTGTAGTTCCGTCTAATTGTCATAATAATCACACATGTCCTAATCATGAGTTATCCAGGCAGGAGTTTTACGAGCATTCCTTGAAAGGGGTAAAATCGATTTCAAAGACTTAAATAAGTTTTCCATCAATTTTTCTAAATAACAATGAGGTTAAGATTAATTCAGTTAATACATTTACTTTAGGCTTTAGATCCAGTTTCGCAGAGTCTTCCACCTAAACCAATATTTTTTCCATATCATTGCTCGGCGTGCGGTCAGCACTTGCCTGATTCCGATGCTCACATATGTATCGAATCATTACCTGATCTACCATCTCCTCCACTTCCAGCATCTGAGGTGATATGTCACGGGTGTAAATCGATACTAATCGAACCGATGAAGTCTTTTAACGAGATTGAGAATGTGTGTAAGTCATGTGGGCAAGATAAAAATCCGATTTTAATCAACACACTCCCAAGAACTCCTCTAGAGCATCAGAATATGATAGAGTTTTGGGATGGCACAGAAAAACTCAGCGTTCGATGGCAGGATGTTAAACAGGATTTACTAAAAAGTCGTGATCATGACTCGCAAGAGAGCTAGTTGTTCCTCTATCACATGATTGTTTTTATAAGTGAGCGCAAGATATCGTTTGCTTATAAAGTCCATTTCTAATCGGAATAACTTACCCTGTTTCGTATGAAATATGATGAATCGATTTTTTAACAGCTAAACTGATCTTTATTTCATTTGGCATAATTTAATAAATTATTGGATAAAAGAGATATATTGTAAAAATAGAAAAATAATAAAATTGATTTTTAATAATTAATATACTAAAGATGTAAAATTGGTTACCAAATAATAATAATATTATTATTAACATAACACTGGTTGAAAGGGTTTATTCGGCATTAATGTCACTTATAAAATGCTTAGCATAAAATCAAATATTCGATTAAAAATAAATATGAATTTGTGAATTTGAAATTTTACATATTAATAAAATAACTTGATTAAAATAATGTGAATAGAAATTAATATTATTTCTAAAGTTAAAATAAATTATATTTATTATATTTACAAGTTTAAACCAGCAAATAAAATCATTATAATTTATAAAATTCTTTAATATACTTACAAAAAAATTTTCATTAACTTTTTATTAATAATATTTGTTTAAAAAATTTTTTTAATTTATTTTATAAAATTTTAAAATATTATAAAAATTTAATAAATCTTTTTGAAAACTTTAAATGCAAATATTTTCATAATTCATTAATTATGTGTAATCTATTATATAAAAAAATTTTTTTAAATTTTTATTAATTATTAAGAAAATTTTTAAATTTAATAATAAAATTACAAAGTTTAAAATATTATTATGAAATTGATTTTTTTTAAAAAAAATTTTAATTAATAAAATATAAAAGTTATTTTAAATTTATTAAATATAAAAAATATATTTTATTTTATTTTATTTTATTTTTAATTAATCTGCATATTGCTATATTTATTAATATATAAAAAACAATAATATAAAATTCAATATATTAAAGTTTTTATTAAAGCTAAACTATATTTAAATAACAAAATATTTATTAATAAGTTATTTATAAATTTATATTAAAAAAAACTTATTTTATTTATATTATATTTCTTAAAATTTTTTCTTATTTAAAAATATACTTTTCTTCATTTGAAAAAATATATTTAAAGAATATTTTTCAGTTAGTAACATCATATTATACTCTTTCTAAAAATAAGATTTTATATAGTAAAAAAATTATAAAATCAAAAATAATTTTTTTTATCCTTAAACAAGTATTTCAAATAGAAAGCTAAAAATATTATTAAAATTTTTATTTGATTTTTTAATAACAAAAAATCAAATAATATTTCTTATATAGTAAAAAATATAAATCAATAAAATACAATATTATTATATATACATACTATTCAAATAAAAAGTTTAAACAATATATTAAAACATTTTACATTTTTAATATAATATTAAAAGTTGTTAATTAATTTTAATATTTATATAATTGAACTTTATTTGATTATAAAAAAAAATAATAATAATATTTTACTCAAATTAGAAAACAAATAATTAATTTTAATTAAAGATTTTTCAAACTGGTTAAAATTAACAATTAGATATAAAAAAAATAAATAATTATATATATATAATATATATAGCTAATATATAGACAGGTTTTAAGTAATTTTTCTTAATATATATATATAATATATTTGTTAACAGGTTTATAGAAGTTTTTTATAGCATATAAATAATATATATTTGTTTTTGTCCTTTATAAAACATAAATTTTTTTATATTTTTTAAGTGATTAAAGAATTATTTATCAAGTTTTTTTATATCAAATAGTATAAAGAACTTATTGAATAAGTTTTGACAAATTATCTAATAATAAAAAAAAAACTCTTTCCTAATCATATCTGTTTTGTTAAAAAATTTTTCTTTTATGGTAATTTTATGCAATAAA